TGTGCGTAAATCTGGACGGGGCTCGGCCGCTGGGTGAGGTTGGGGCTGGTGGCTCGTGCCTCGGTGGCGCACACCAGACCTGACCGAGACCGGGGTGAGATCTCCGCGCGCACCGGAGCTGTCCACTCTGCCGTGGTGCTGAACTCCGCACCCCCCACCACCCCTCCTCCTCGCGCCTATCTCCTGCCTTCCAATCGGCGTTATTTTTGGAAAGGATTACCAACCCCCCCCCTCCACACACACACTGATCAGCGTTTAGGTGCAAACTTCTCCCTTGGACGTCCTCTTTCTGTGTCCACATCGGAAATTACGCAACACCAGTGGCCGAAGTGACCCAAACGGAGCTGGACATTCCGGTTAATTGGACTTTGTTTAGAAGTGTTTTTTCAACGTTTTGCTCAACCCCTGTTTGGATTATCTCCTTGGATGTTTTACATCTGGACACACAGGTAAGAAAGAAACCACCCCGGCGTGTGTTTGTGTGTTTGTGCGTTTGTGCGTTTGCTTGGATGTGGACTAATTGTTAAATCCAGGTCTGACCGACCGTGTAAAAAACTCCCCCTCACTATCTGACTCGCTATCAAAGACCCGTTTTAACACCCCATAAGCAGCCATAAAAAGCCACTCTTTTCCAAAGATCCAGCGGGTCACTTCTCACCGACTAGGGGAGATACTGTGTGTCCAGATCGGGCTTTTTTTTTACCGTTTCAATTGACTCGAACCAGCTCATATCAGGGCATCCCAAGTTGAGATCAGAGTTGCCTTGATTCTGTCAAGGATAAACGCAAACATTCCGCAATTATCAGAGTGTTTTCTGAAACGATGCCCACAGCTTTTTTCGCTTCTCCGCGTGGCGCTCGGTGCGTTATTATTATTATTCTTTCTTCTGTCCCCCCCGTTGGTGCGTTAATCCTTGAGTGACACCGTTAGCAGCAGGGGATTAGGCTATACTTTTGTTTTCCATCCTCAGTTTTGCGCCTGACTCATTTAGCCACACAGAAATTGCACTGGCTCTGAGAATGGACATTAAATTGCGTCGTCTGGTGGTTTTCGAAAGAAATTCGGGGTCATGTGTCAGGGGGCTGGGGTTTAGGGAGGACTCAGGCGCAGAGAGGTGGT